GCCTGGGTTTCTCTGCCTTGCCTAATCAGAATATTTCAACAAGCCCTTGCTTACCTTTTTCTAGGCCCCACCTATGTCCTCTGTTCAAAGCTCTGCATTTTAGTCCTGTTCCCAATAGGAGCACGAGTTCCCAATCCTAAATCTCCTTTGGTCTCACTGTTCCTGCTCTATAGATATGCTCCCAAGACTACACAATATACAAAGGCCAGGAAAATGACTTTACCTTCCAATCCTGTGTGCCTAGAAGACCCTGTGAGCTCAGCCTGGCTCCTGAGGAGCCTCAAGGGAATTAGTCTAGTGTCAGACCTTTCTCGCCTTGCCTTTGCTCTACCACACCCCAGTACACATCTATTATTTTAGTTTTGCTATTTTCCTCCACTGCTGGAGAAATAAGCCAAAGACCACAGTAAATTAACAATAAAGGCGGAATTCCCTAGAGACTTGAAAAAAGACGTCACTTGTTGCCTCAGCATGGCTGCCAGTCAGCCCCTTTGATGTAAAGCATCTGTTCTCTTCAAGGAAACAAGAAGGTCTGGTTCTTCTTTCTAGTCTGTGAAGTAGGAGGTGGTGTCATTTGTTGTCTGGAGCCACAAGCCCCATGTTACTGGGTTGCAAGCTGCTGACTGCCTTTGTTAACATGCTGAAGATTTCATCGGCTGTCTTTAATAAAAGAGGATGTGTGTGAGGGAAGACATCAGCCCTTGCAGTTGGGTTTCTGTTCTCCAGCCCATGACTCGTGGCTGGCAGATGGCAATGACACCCAATATGTAATCAGACAGCCAGTCACCTGGACTTCTTGCATTTCAGTTAAACAGTGAAGCAATCTTTAAGTCTGTTTAGAAACCGTACTTGCTCTTATTTAGTTATGAAAAGTCTTTTTTAATTTCTTCTTCTGTCCAACAATATTTAGTCCTTTACTACTCTGTTAATAAAGCTTCATTTGAGTACTGTTACTCCCTTAGATAATTTTTTGGGTAAGAGAAGAATTCTGTTTTATGGGAGTTTAGACATTTGATCTGACATGTTTTGTTCTATAGGAACTTCATTCTTTTATTAAGAAAAAAAACTTTGTTTCAGAAGCTGTAAAAGGATATAATGTAGGATCTGGAAATGACCTCTAGACAAGTGCTTCTCAAATTTTAATGAGCGCACAAAGCACCTGGGTATCTTGTTAAAATTCAGAATCTTCCTCAGTAGGTGGCGCCTGAAATTCTTCATTTCTATTAAGCCCCTGGGTGATGCTGAGCCCCTGCCTGAACTCTCATTTTTGTAGCAAGGCTGGATGACCTGAAGGCAGGCAGTCCAGTGGGCATCCGCTAAGCTGCCCATGCGATTGCCGTGGAAGGGAGATATGATGGGCTTAAGAGATAAAAACCCCATCTCTGAAGAGAGAAAACAACCATAGAGGGAGAAAATAGTCTATATCCAGTTTTAGTCATAAATTTTTAACAAGCACTTGAAATTATTTATGTCAAATGGCACTTTCAAAGCAGTTACCTGAGGCAGTGGATATGTATGTCGCATATGAGCACACCAGCATGTCAATTTCATCAGTTTCCAGTTATGCAAATAAGAATCTATAAGTATTACATAATATATGTGCATTGATTTTTTAAAATAGCTTTCTTACTCTATTAAATAGATGCATTCAAATCACAATGTTTCCTCTGAAAATTGTAATCTATTTATAATTAGATCTTTGCTTAAAAATATTGAACGAGCCATAGCTGATGGGGCTCAGTTGTTTGGTTGTCATCTAGTGCACCAGTGGGCCGCCAGTTTGATTCCCGGTCAGTGCACATGCCTGGGTTCCCCGTAGGGTGTGTAAAGGAGGCAGCCTATCAGTGTATCCCTCTCACATAGATGTTTCTTTCTCCCCCTCCCCCTATCTCTGAAAATCAATAAAAAGTCTTTTAAAATTTGAATGATTTTCTTAATATGCACATTTTTAGTTTACTTGGATTTTTATTCTTTAGAGGACACAATAAGTATTATGTAAGCTTCCATGAGATCTGTTATCCCACATGAACTTCATAATGCCAATTTTTGATTATTCTTGTTTAATGAGAAACATGCTAAGTGTGGAAAGTGCAAAATTAAAGTTATTCCAAAACACCAATATAATTAGCATTCAGACTCATTTTGATAACAGATTTAACTTCTTAATTGTATTTTCTTATAATAATATTAACTTTTTCCTCCCTAATTTGAAGGTAGGGAGATGACTCAAAGTATTCCAAGCACAGAAGAACTCAGGCTGCAATTTAAGTAATAATAGCAAAGCCTTGGTATACTTCACCACCTATTTTCACAACATTCTTTTCCAGGTTAACCTAAGAAAGGCTACGGAGCCAGTAAAGAAAGAGCCAGTTTACAAATCCTCAGCGTTTAGAGTCAGGAGTCCTTCAGGCACACTGACAAGGAGATTCCGCTTTGTGTTTTTGAGATGATAAGGAAACAGAAAAAAAGAAGAAAAAGATAGTAATCTGTATTCTCATATACTCTTAACAACAACTCTTAAGAAACAAGCATTGTTACCCCATTTCTAGAAGAAACTGAGGTCTGATATGCTTACTCAACTTGTCCAAGTGCACACATTTCTGGGTGGAGCGGTCATTGGCACCTGGGCAGTGGGATTTGGTAACCTCTGAGTGTTTTTAAAAATCCCCTTGAGTTGGAATTCTAGTTAGGTACAGACACTTTGGTAATGAAGTGATTCAAGAAGTAACAGCTATCCCACAGGGCCATCTGGTTTCTCTCCGCCCAGCAACTGGGCCCCTTCTCTTTCTGGTAAGTAAGGAATGGTCTCCAACCCTGGCTCTCTCTCCCCATTTCCTCGCTTCCTATGCAGGATAGCAGGAAGTTTGAACACTTCATCTATTTAGCATCTCTAGTAATTCAGACTGTGAACACACTTCACCATAAGTTTAGTAGCTGTTTATTGGTTGTGATGCTAAGCTGTGTGAGGGGACATCATTCAGAAATGTGTTCAAGCATCAAACGCAAGATAATAGTGGTGGTATGACAACACAGTTGTCTTAGGAAGACAGAGTCGGTGGTGTTATTTTAGGTTTCCAATGTGGAGATAGTCACTGCACATGTAATTTGGAGTTGTGTTTATTTGGAGTGGTGTTTAAAATTAGATATTGACCATCTGTATTTTTCTTGATAAGTGTGGAGTCATCCAGACTAAAAGGTTTTCGAAGGTTAGTAATAGCTTATATTTGCAACATTCTTTTTGGAAAGGATGTTGAAAAGTTGGAGAATAATGCCCAGTAGTTGAGGACTTTAAGAGAGTTTTGGTATACATCCAGACACATATTATGTAGCCATTGAAATAAAAATTGTAAAGTTTGTATAGCAACATACATATCACAAACATGCATTTGCTATATCTCAGGCACAAGGAGCCAGGAAAAGTGAACTTGACATTTGTAGAGTATCTCCAATGTGCATGTACTGTGCTACATTTGTTTATTTTCTCTTATCTTTGTAACAATGTGCAGAAAGTTGATATTATTTCAATATTTCATAAATGAAAGAACTGAGACACAGATATATTAGGGGACTTCAAGGTCATAGCAGTGGCTGAGCAAGAACTCAAATCCACATCTCTGACAATCCAGATCTGATCCTTTTCCCCCAGTTGGTTTATTCTGAGCTATTCACCCCTCTCCCCAGCATTGCTTTGGTTCAGAAATAATTGTTTTTACAGTAAAGAGTAGAGTCATATGAATTCAGCTGAAAAATGCATGCATTGTGAAAATGTTAAATCATAGAAATAATTGTCAATTATTTTAGGCGGTATCAGATTTGCCAAGACAATTAAGAGTTGACATCATCTGAAAAATGAAAATAGAATCTTAGCATAAACACTTTTAGTTTTATCTGATATTTGAAATATGCATTTATGTAACTGCCAAAATATTAGCTACTCTGCAAGCCAGAAAGTTCCAGGGACAAGACAAGAGCAGTACAGCCCTTATTCATTGATAGCAAGCAAAATGTTTTTTCCTTTGGGAAGGAGTGTTATTATTAACTAATGTCTGAGAATTTGGGGATGGAAACCCTGTATTAAACTAGTGCTACATAACATACTTTTTTTTAAAGTTTGCCTTTCACATGATAACTTTGTATTACAATTACCACACATTACAGAAAAATCTGTTTGCAAATTATTTTTAAACAAATAGCATAAAACTCTTATAAAAGTACTGTATTTTATCTATTATTAGGTGTTTTTAATTCACTGTTTTTAGAGTAAACACTTACCATTAGAAGGTTAAAAACTGACTTAAAAGTAAAGATTTTGTCTCATTAAATTACTTGAGCTAGATTTGGGAAGGACTATAGTGGTTTCATTTGAAATTTTTTTTTCCAGGATAGTTTACCCTGAAAACATCAGTAAAACTTTACAGTATATTTTACTTATTCATGTTTTTATAAATGGTGTGGAATATTACTAAGGAGAGAGAACAAAGGTGGGGAGTGGAGGGGGGTCAATGGGAAAAAAACAAAGGGGCCATCTGTAATACTTTCAACAATAAAGATAAATTTTTTAAAAAAGAATTTTAAAAAGTGGGTGGACACAGAAATTTGTCAACTTTTCCCATTTAATATTGTATTTCTTGGTGTTGAGTTGACCAAAAGTTTAATTCTGTCCATCTGAACTTGTATCGCCTTTTTCTCAGAGTGGTACCACCTGACTAGGTTGCTAGGTTTTCATATGTAACCCATTCTTTCTCATTAAAGACGAAAACTATTTCTCTAGCTGCCTGCCCTTTTTAAAAAGGTACAAAGTACACAGCGGCTGTTTGGAAACTTTTTTCCCCCTCCTTCCTAGTTATCTTTGTCTGTTTGTATAAATTGCTAAATTGCTTCCATAAAATGCCTCCAGACATAAGGGAATCATTTGCATAAGTGGATGAAGATTTTTGTCTTCCTCGAAGGAAAGCTTGCGATGGCCTCTTAATCGGTTTCCTTCCTCTCTCTGGCCCTAGTATCCGGCTGCGCTGATGAACCTGGGAGCCATCCTGCACCTGAACGGCCGGCTGCACCAGGCCGAAGCCAACTACCTGCGGGCGCTGCAGCTCAAGCCGGACGACGTCATCACGCAGTCCAATCTCCGCAAACTCTGGAACATCATGGAAAAGCAAGGCTTAAAGACTTCCAAGACCTGACACGGGGCAGCGCCTCTTCCTCCTCCACCTTCTCAAGCTGGCTTCCTTCACCAACAGGACTTCCCAGCGGGGCTAGGACAAGAGCTGGTTTGGACTTCAAGGCCAGGGCAGAGGTCACCGAGGTCACTGCCTCTTCTGGGAATATCCACTTAGCTGTTGGCACAGCCTTTAACACCAAAAAGGGGGGGGGGATTTGGAAACCTCCTGAAGGATGTAATTGTTACCCATAGAACTAAACCAGAGCACTTAAGAAAGGATCTCTTGGCCTTCTGAAAGAGGGACGGCGTCTAACTTCCAAACTTTGTGCATTTTTGAAAGCTAACTGAGAAATTATATTGTTTCCTAAACACTGTGAGAGGAAGCCAGAGTGTCCATTCAGCCATGGTAAACTATGAAGGTCAAGTGTGCATAGGAGAGATTAACATGTAGTGTGAGCCCCAGGGAGCCGGCGGTCATCCTGCTGCTGCCTTCCCTCTCTGGGACAGCCCGCTCATCCAAATTCTGCAACTTAGAAAATTCCCCCCCCCCTTTTTTTTTAATACGATGTCAGGACCTGTGAGAGTCTACGCTTGTTTCCTGACTAGTGCACATGCCGCATTATGATTTGGATGTCAGTCTTCACTTTCTTGGGAATCATTTGCTTTTCATGATCTGAAAAGGGTATGCAGCGTAGCGAAACCCCCATTTCACACTGGTATTGTAGGAGGGGCCAGGGAGGCCTCATACTTGTCAGGCAGGCATTTTTTACTTTAAAGTCGCCAATATTTATCCCCCACACACACACAAAAATAAAAGAAAGAAAGAAAGAAAAAACTGCCTAGGAGAATTCATTGTGTTAATTCTTAGGCTTTTGAAATTGCCTTTGTAAATGGCTATTCCTGGTTAGTGCACATGCTTATATAAGGATTATAACAAAAGGAAGCTTAAAGGTGTTCTAGCTCCAACAACTAACCAGCAGCCATTAGACATAAGGGAAGGTGCTTTGTGCTTTCCAGATGTTACTGGTTAAAAAAACAAGTCTGCTCGAAGGAGTGTATAATGATGGTTACCAATGACTTTATATTTGGGAAATGTTATTATGAAATGCTAATATCTTTCTAATAGGTACCAGAACAGTAATGCTGATACGGTTTTAAGGAATTGTTATCGTATTTTTCATATTTTGCTCTTCCCCCCAAAAAACATAAAAATAACTTCTTATTTTAAGCTGCAGTAGAGTGTAGCATTAGCCTGCGTGTTTCTAGGTGTTCTGCCAAGTGCTTTTTACAGTTGAAAACCATTTCTCACTAGCAAATTTGGTATTTTGTTTCATTACCTATTTGTAACCACTTCAACGTTCATTTCACAAGTAAAGGAGTTTAAAAGATGTAGAGAAGAACATTTGTTGAACTTTTTTTTTGACTTGCAGTCAGACTTTGTTACTAGAAATTAACTTTGTGAAAACAATAGCCCACTATTAGCTTCTTCATAAAGTAGAAACACAATACTGTACATATTTATTTATTTATTATTCTATAATAGCAGAATAACAAACAAAACTTGATTCACCAAGCCAATTCCTTGCAACTGAAAATTAAGCTTTTTCTCCTTTACACTCATGCTCCATGTATATATGGTCAGCTTCCCCATTAAAGGGAAGCTGCACATGCAAATACATCATACTATGTTTTCTCCATATTTTGTATGTTTTTCTGCATATCTGAATACAGTGGGATAAAGAATTTGAAGTAGTGTTCCTATGGCATTAGTGTAAGAAGGGCAAATGTAGTGAGAGAGATTTGGTGATGACATTAATAAGAAGGCCCTCCTACCATGTACAGTATTTTATAAACATTTCACTGAGGGGCCAAAAGTTAAATTATAACTAAATCACTGTGTTCTCAGAATGATATTTAACATTTAACAACAACAAACCCGTGGTCAAACCAAAAATAGGGGTTGAAGTGTATTTTTCATCTTCTACTGCATTGGCAATTGCAAACAAATAAATACAAAAGGAATTTAATATAAGGATATAGAGATGAATTCAATGTCTAACATTTTTATTTATTTAAATATTGACCTATGATGATTTCCTAGTTTTAACACTTTATGTCTTTTTTATTGTTATTATTCTTCCTTTCAAAACACTTGGTTCTTAATAGGTTTGCTGATTGCACAGTAGAGGCACTTCATGTTGACCCAGTTCCCAAGTAGCATTAATAATTGGGCCTGTGTCATAAAATGCATGGATCTTTAATAACAAAATGTCCCTGACACCTTCTATTACAGGGCTGGGCTTGGACCAACTTGGGGGGAGGGCAACAGGGGAGCATAATAGAACATGGTCAAAAAAGTCTCCGCTCAGGGATTTATGGTGGATTATTGCAGACAGTGCTAAAAATATAGAGCACAAGACAAGCTTACTAAATTAAAATTTTATTTTTTGAGAAGCTGTTATTTGTATAAATTATCAAGATTTGTAGGCTTTCCTTTTGTAGAAATAATTGTTTTATGTGCCAGAGAATTTCAATTTTGTTTTCAACAATAAAGCATTGATAACAAATATGTTGTTTAAGCCTTTTTTCAGTCTTCCACAGCAACAAAACTTATACTCTCTCGGGTTTTAGCAGAACTAGGAGATAATTTTTAAAAGGTGGAGATTGAGAGCCAAATAAAGACAGAATGTGGCTAATGTATAATAAGAATTATTAATTTTTAATAGTTACGGTAATAATAAGGGTTGCTGATGTCATTAGATTTTCCATGTTCAGAAAAGATGGCATGGTCCTGGCTGGTATGGCTCAGTTGGTTGAATATTGTCCCATGCACCATTCACTGAAAGGTTGCCAGTTCAATCCCTGGTCAGGGCACATGCCCAGGTTGTGGGCTTGATCCCCAGTTGGGCTGTGAGCCAAGTAATGTTTCTCTCTCTCTTTCTTTCTCTCTCTCTCCCTCTCTCTCTCTCTCTCTCTCTCTCTCTCTCTCTCTCCCTCTCTCTCTCTCCTCCTCTCTAAAAGATTAATAAATTGGCCCGGCCAGCGTGGCGCAGTGGTTGAGCATCAATCTATGAACCAGGAGGTCAGGGTTCGATTCCTGGTCAGGGCACATGCCCAGGTTGTGGGCTCGATCCCCAGTAGGGGGTGTAGAGGAGGCAGCCAGTTAATGATTCTGTCTCCCTCTCCCTTCCTCTGTGAAATGAATATATATATGTATACACACACACACACACACACACACACACACACACACACACACACACATTAACAAACAAACAAACACACAAAGGAGAATAGGAAGAGTCTACACTGTGAAAGAAAGGACTGCCTAGACCCCTGGAACTCAAGAAGGAGGAGGAGCGAAGCCCACCGAGGCATGCTTCACTCCCTTCCCTGCCACCTCGGCTCCCTCCCGTCTCCGCTGCCTCGGCTCCCTCGTTTTTCCACTGCCTCGCTTCCTCCTGTGTCTGCCACTTCGCTCCCATCTCCACTGCCTCGCTCCCTCCCTTCCTCACCGCCTCAGCTCTCTCCCTTCCCCGCTGCCTCAGCTCCCTCCCTTCTCCGCCACTTCACTCCCTCCTATGTCCACTGCCTCAGCTCCGCTCCCGTCTCTGCTACCTCTGATCCATTCCCTTCTCCGCTGCTTGGCTCCCTTCTGCAGTGCTTGGCTTCCTTCTACACTGTCTTCAGTCTTCGCTGGGCACTTGTGTATGCAAATTAACCACCATCTTTGTTGGGTTAATTTGCATACTTTTCTGATTGGTGGGCATAGCGAAGGTATGGTCAATTAGCATCTTTGTCTTTTATTAGTGTAGATAGTAAGAGAAAAATATGCTAATTAGCCTGAGTATGCTAATTAGTCATGACCAGTATGCAAATTGACCATCTCATTCCAACACTCAAGATGGCCACCACAAGATGGCCAGCAGGGAAGGGCAGTTGGGGGGCAACAAGGCCTGCAAGGGAGGGCAGTTGGAAGGTTCCAGGCCTGCAGGGGAGGGCAGTTAGAGGTGACTTGGCCAGCAGGGGAGGGAAGTTGGGGGCGACTGGACCTGCATGGGAGGGCAGTTAGGGGTGACCAGGCCTGCAGGGGAGGGCAGTTGGGGGCAATTGGGCTGGTAGGGGAGGGGAGTTCAGGGCAATCGGGCCAGCAGGGGAACAGTTAGGCGTCGATCAGGCTGGCAGGGGAGTGGTTAGGGGTGATCAGGATGGCAGGCAAAAGCAGTTAGGGGCAATCAGGTAGGCAGGCAGGTGAGTGGTTGGGAGCCAGCAGTCCTGGATTATGAGAGGGATGTCCAACTACCTGTTTAGGCCCAATTTCATGGGCAGTTGGATATTCCTCGAGAAGTCCCAGATTG